CTCTCTCTCTCTCTCTCTCTCTTTCTCTTTCTGTGTGTGTGTGTGATTGGGTGTATGTGTGTGTTTACTGCCCTGCTGGTAAGAGATAGCTGTTATTGTGTCACTCAAAGATGAGGCCTCCATCCATCTCTCACATGTTTATTTTTAACTCCTCTTTCTCTTTCTCTCTCTCTCTCCTCATGTTTACCTTGATTTCCCTCTGTTGTCGCTCCCACCAAAAGTGTGTGTGTGTGTCCTGTTGGTAAGAGATAAGGCTTCCACCCATCTCTCTTCTTATCTCTCCAGTCATTTATACCTTGCTTGCCCTCTGTTGTCTGTCCCACCATTTTATCATCCATCCACTCTTTCCTCCCACTAACTCTTCTATCTTGTGTGTGTGTGTGTGGTGTGTGGTGTGTGTGTGGTGTGTGTGTGGTGGGGGGGACCACCCAGCAGCTGACAGGGCTGTTGTCATGGTTATCAGGAGAGTGGGGGGCTCTCATGACATTGTTGTCTCAGAAAAGAGAAACCCGTAGAGAGGAGAACAGTGACCATATTCAGGGCCTCAGTCTAACTTTTTATATTGGTTGCACCAAAGATAAACTTTATTGATCCCAGTTGGGAAATTGTTGTTTGGTACAAACATTTTACAAACCAACTGCTGCTTCTGTTCTAATCATGAAGCAGTGGTGTTGATCATTGTGTAGTGGAGATCCTGTATTTTTACATTTTGTCTCCACTATTTTTCTACCAAAAAGTGGGTTCATGTTAACAGGCCCTGCTCCTGTTATCTCTGCCTCACTGTGTGTGTGTTGTTCTGTGTGACTGATTGGGGGCAGGGCCTGTGTGTGTGTGTACTACACCTCGCTCACAGTTTGAGGATTCTGGGAGCACACACACATACACAAATTCTCTCTCGCTCCTGGCATTTCACGTGATGTCCTATATGATGATGATTAAAAAAAAAAAAACGAGGGGCATATTTGTAAGTCGCAGTGGTGTGTCTATACTCGATGGTCTCAATATATTTTTATACACTGCGCGTGTTGCAAACCACAATACATCGAGTATATTCGATATATCGCCCACCCCATGCCATTCATAAAATTGAAACTCACCATAAATAGCCACAGTCTGGAGTCCTGAACTTGTGTCTATTGAAGGGGTCCGTCAGTTTACCAGTTCATCATATAGTAATCTAATCAGTCATCAACACAGGTACAACTTAAGTAACCATAAGGTGTTGAAAACTGTCCTTTTATGTTTATGAGTGCATCGCATCATTTCTACTCCATGTTGAAGCTGCCAATCATCTGTTCTTCCATATCCCACTCACATCTGGTGACTGCTGATCTCTGAAGTTCACTGAACTCACAGTCATGTTCATGAAGCCTGTTTGACATGTAGGCATTAGTAAAACTAATATACAAATACTGGACCATCGAAACAGATCTCTGCTCCTCATGTTGTTGTTTTTTTTAAATCTCAGTCTTCACAGGTGAGTCCAAAGGCTCAAACTATGATCGGACATGCAGACATTTGAATGTTTCAAAATACTCTGGCAACAAGTCTCATGTTTTAATAGTTTTGTCCACTTCAGAATGGGTGGATTTTGGGTACTGTGTATTAAGTTGTTTAACATATCCAGATGTAAAGATGTCACGAGAACAGATAATTCAGTACCAAGCCTCTGCTGAAATTCTCAAACCATCATGGTACCGAAAAATACGGCCCGCCGCTGCTTCAGGATCAGTGTAGACACACATTACATGGCCAGTATCCTTGTACTGTCCTGTATTACCCTACCACATATCCTCCCCACTCACTCCCCCGCTGACCTGTGCTCACTTTACACATTAACAGTAAACGCCGATACTAATCAATTATTAGGTCAGGTACAGTCCTGAAGTGTACTTTATGTTTGTTTGATTCTGTCTGGAGTTCATAAGATATGTATTTAAACGCATTATAAAAAAAGTCAAACAGACACACAACTCGAAGCGTAACTTGACGTGCACAGCCAGGAAATCAGGGTTAAAGGGATAGTTCACCCAAAAATGAAAATTCGCTCATTATGTACTCACCACTATGCCGGTAGAGGGGTGGGTGATGTGTTTAAGTCCACAAAACACGTCAGGTGTTCAGGGGGAAACAGAGTCGTATGTTTTTAAGAAAAGTGACCGAAGCAGCAGAATTAATACGTCACTTACTGCTTCTACCGGCTACACCACCTCTCCTGAATTATAAAGAGGACTGATGCTATTGTGAATTTGTCTGTGCAGAGAACGTCCTGCTGCATTGTGCGTGTGTGAAAGGCCAACTGCAGGTCATGTCTTAAAACAGCTTATGTGAATGCCTCCTGCATGTTTTGGAGGGATGTCAAACTATATTAATGACATCGTTTTCTTTGTCCACAGGAAACAGTATCATGGCTGCCATGTTTACCGAGCTGCCCTCCTAGACTTCCTTCATATCTAGACACACATATATAATCATCCCTGGAATCCACACAAGCACACTCACTTTTGAGTTGTGGTGTGTGTGTGTTTGTGTGTGTATATGCGAGGGATGACAACCTCCCATCTGAATGGCCATGTTGCTGGGGAGGGAGAGGGAGGAGGAGGAGGAGATGATGAGCTGAGGGGAGGACAACAGCACAGAGAAATGGCCATCGACTGTCCAGGAGAGCTGGGGGGTCGGATGCTACCGCTCCGACGTTCTGCACAGCTGGAGAGGATACGACAACATCAGGTGCGCACACATAAACACACACACTGGTTAATTTATTCATGAACAACTTAACTTAAGGTGGAAGCAGTTGCTAACATAAAAGTCTAGTATATTTATAAAATACATACAAAAACTATCAAGGTTGATCAAAATGCTCTACTGGAAAAAAAAGTAATGGAAACAGACAGAGTCCAAATGAAAGGTCGGTGTACTGCGTCCCAGTCACTGGCCGGTGATCACAGTCTGCATATGTCTGCACAAGTCATTACAAGAGTTAATAGCAGTAGGGAAATGCAACTTAGTACATTTACTCAGATACTGTTATTAAGTACCACTCTGAGGTGCTAATGTAAATTGTTTCCATTGAATTGTTATTGTATACTTCCACTGCACTAGATGTTTTTTCCAATTATATAAAATATGATGACTTGTTATACATTAAACAAACTGAATGTTTCATGATACAGATTATGATTGGATGCTAATTCCTGTATTTTGCAGTGTCCTGTGTGGAGGCATCTGCATTTTGTATATACCTACACTCGCTCGTCTGTAAAAACTTCATAGAAGTACAGAGGCTGGTTAAAGGAGCACATGAACCGGGAAATCAAACCCAAAATCAGAATGTTTTCCGATTTTTCCTTACACCCTATTCATACTACTGCAGATCTTGTCCACATGCAAACAGAGATTAGAAATAGAGATTGTTTTGATTTTGAATTTAGGAGAATAATGATAATAATCACCGAGCATGCTCACAGTGTTCATCTCTATTATTTGATGGATTGTTGATGTAGACTTTATTATTACCCCTGGTCCCGGCATGCTTATTTGAACCTTTTTAGTAGTTTTTGTTTTATTGTCTGGACAAACCAATTTTGTAAAACAAAGGTCATGTGAATGGGGAAAAAAGCTATTAAACAGAGGGGAAAATATCCATTCAAAAACATATCTGCAGTAGTTAAGACAAGGTCTGTCTTAATTATTAAGGGTATGTCTGTTCTCTGTATCTCTTTCTGTAGGTATCAGCTGCCTAATGACTAATGATGCCACATGAATTTTACAATAGGAGGTTAAATGTGTATGATTAAAGAAAAAAACACACTGAGGATGTGTGGTGAGATAGTGATCATACAAAATCTGATTAAAGGACTTACAAAATGTACCACGAATTGTATTAATGATTTTAGTGTATTTATTTGTCTGTTTGTGTGCGCGTGTATTTTAGGAGGACCTTCGGCGTCGTAGAGAGGAGGAGGGTCGGCAGCTTGACCTGAACGCCTCACTCAGGCTCAGGAAGCTCTCCCAGAATCCCCACATTGGCATCGACAACCCCACATTTCTGGAAGACGCATACATACCGCAGCAGACACCGCTCAGCAGCCAGCACGCACATGCACTGCTGGGTAATACGCACACACACAAACACACACACACAAACAGTCCAGAGCAGGTCATTTCATAAAGGTCTCAGAGGAAAAGGAAAGATTAAAGTGATTTAGATGAAAGGGGTGATACATTTTAGTTTGAAAAAAAAAAACAAGGTGATGGAGAAGAGGTTAAAAAGGAGAATGTTGGGAGGGAAAGGAATGTAAAGAAGACATGTCTGCTGTCAGGGAGGAAATTCCTCAGGGAGGGAGAGAGGGACAGGATGGGCTCTTGAGGGCGACTTAATTAAAACTGTGCCAGGGGTGGTGATGTTTACACAATCACTTCATCACAAACACTGTAGAACTGCAGTCTTCACTGAGCAGTGAATTAAAAAGCAGACACACAAACTTTAGACATTACTCTGAAGGGAGGACAACATCGTCCTCTGGTCATTAATAATATTTCTCCTCTTTTTGTGTTTGATCTGTAAACATCTGGGTTTGTGAGTCTTTCTTAGTGTGTTTGATGTGATTGTGTGTTTGTTGCAGAGTTGGAGGAGTTGTTGCTGTCACTGAAGCAGGTCCGAGGCTGCCTGTCCGACCAGCAGAGTCAGAATGACATAGAGCTGGTACTTGCACTACTAAACAAGGTAATATAAAGGGAATTAGAGGGAAAGACCCTTGGGTGAATATGTAATTGTGGTATTTTCCAATACTTACTGACCTCAGAGGTAAAAGAGATTTACAAAGATGGAGCCATGTCCTCACTGCTTTCTGAGTAGGAGTATCCATGGCAACAAGGGCCTTACAAGCTTCCTACAGCTGGGATGAAGGCTTCATTTATGGAGGAAGGTGGAGACAACAGTTAGACAATTCCTTTGTTTTTGGTCTGTCCTTTTGTGCAAGTGTAAGCTTTTCTTAAATTTGTTGTTTGCCAGTATTTCCACGTGTACATTGTAACATTTGTAAGAGTAAACAATCTGGAGTTCTTCCAGGAACCCTTTGGGAGCTCTGAAACCAAGACTACAGTTTTGGTTTCAAAGGAATCTTTCCATATCTCTGAAGTAGCTACAGTTTTGGTGCACTGTTGTTCTTGGAGTGTTAGGTTGTGGTGTCCTTTCAGGCTATTAGTAGGTGGTTAATAACTCACAGTGCAGATATGACAGCTGTAAAGCAAATGCTGTCAAGATTAATACAACTAACAATGTGATGTCATTTGACTGGATGAGTCAATCAAATGCATGTAAGCCTGGCAGATTACCTACTGTCGATAATGGAATAATTGTGCCATTGACAAGCTAGTCAGTGAAGCAAACCTGCTTGTCTTTAGCTGAGAACCTTCTTGCTGTGAGGCGTCAGTGCTAATCACAGCACTCATGTGCTGTCAATTATATGCAGAAACAAAGGAATACAGTTTTCACAGAGTATTATACTTCAGGTGGAAATAATTTCACTTCAAATACGTAAAAATGCTTTTTCTGACAGAACATATTGCTCTCTTTTTTCTTTGTTTACCCTTTAGTCTGACTTCCAGTCAGCGCTGAAGATCCACAATGCTGTGGCCACCAGCATGCACCGACCCTCTCCTCCATACCCACACACACACCAGGCACTTCAACTGGCCATGGAGGTAACACAGTTCTCCAAATTGAAATAATTTGAAATTATTGTTTGTTTAATCACTTGTCAATCCTTGTTGCATCATCTGACACACACACACACACACACATAGTGTGTGGTTGGTGAATGTGTAATAATGGGGTTGGAGACAAAGCAGCTCTGTTCCACATCAATTAGAAACACTAGTGCTCATAATAATTTTTGCCTGCACACACTCAGCTAAAGTCTTTTGTTTACTGTTCATATTTTATAGAGTTGGTGTAACTCTTGATAACAGGTCAGTTTAAGCTTAAACTTGATCTGTTTAGCAGTAGTAGTTGGAGTAGCTGGAACAAGTCAAGTACACGTTGAGTTATTCTATGAACCAGATGACACCATGTTGATCATAACAAGTTCAAGTGAAGCCAATACCCAGTCTGCTAACACTGTCATTGCTGTAATTATGTGTCTGCTTCAGTGTTCAGCTGGCCGGCTGTTAGAGCTATTCATGGCTCATTTCAGTGGAATCTCATTAACGACCAACACAGTATTTCTGCTCTGTGTTGGCATCTCCACCCCCTGCCCTGCATTTGGCTGCAAAAAGAAAAGTTCACACTGTACTCAGACAAACACTGTCATTGTTCATGAAGTTGAATATAAATATTACAAATAAAAACAGCCATGGTGAGTAACTCAAAAACAAGAACTAAAAAACCCCCTTAGTTCAAGTCTATTGAACGCTGCTCAAAATAATTAAGGGGACGCTTAATCGTTAGTGTAAAGTTATTTTGTGAATCAATTTCAGTTGGCTCAGCCTGTGATTTCAATTTTTTACTTTGATTTACATTGAACTTTTGAATCCTGCCCTCAATAGATGTATGATTGACCCTTGTTTTCTCAATCTGTTCTCAACAAATTATACAATGTACATCAGTAAGTGTTTTCAGTTTGAATAATTCATTCATCAAGTTCTGTCAGACTGAAAGACATTTAAATCCTTGCTCATATTGAACTTGAGTTACATTGCAGACATTGTGCACACATTTCACTGATTGATTTCTCTCAATTTAGGCACAATTACTACTACGAAATGATTAAATGTTAGAATATATATATACCTAAATCTAACGATGTTTCATGAAGTGTTTACTTCATCCTAGCTGTCCAACAAATTTGGAACTTCTTGTGTCTTTGCTTCTTGTCTTCTCTCTTGTGTATATTGGCTATGTTACTGTATAAAGACTGTTATGTTCAGGAGCGGTTGTATGTGTTACAGTGATTCTGAACCATATCATAGCTATTATACTACTTAACATCAGGGATGCTCTGTGATTCAGGTCAGAAATCTCACCCAGTCAAGTCAGAACAAGGAGGGACTGGAACTCCACAGCCTGCTGTCAGACACACACATCCAGGTAGAGACACACACACACACAGAGACTCTGAAAGTAAAGAAAAGAATCCCGTAGTGACTGTGTGTGTGTGTTGCAGTCATTGCTCCTGGCCCATGACAGCATAGCAGAGACGGAAATGCAGCCCGAAGCACTGCCTGCCGAGGGAGAAACACTGACCCAGTGGGGAGGAGAGACTGTCAAGATCGTTCGCATAGAGAAGGCCCAAGATATACCACTGGTAAGACACAGACACGTTCAGCCTGAGTAAAGTAGAAGACAGTTGTATAGAGAGCTGACCTCCCTCCACACTCCTAGTTGAGCTTGTGTTCCAGTAACTGTCACTGGGGAACTCCAGCAATGTTTCACATTAGACTGTGTTTACAGGTGTTGATGAGCATAGTTAACATCAGTTGGGGCTTAACACTGCAAATATGAACATTTCAAAAGTTGCTCCTTGTCTCTGATTCAAGCTTGGTGCTGCAGGCTCTTTTAAATGAAGGTAGCATAATATATCAATAGTTGTAACATTTGTAATGTTTTATTTTCCCATGTGTTCATTTTTAGTCAATGTTATAGTTAAATATAGATAAAGAGGGTAATGCTAAATCAGTGATAATTTTTCAATGTAATTCCTCAAAGAAACACATACAGACTCCAGTGGATGAGTGGTTGATGCATGAACTGATAAACAAAACCATCCCTCCATCCTTTGTGGGTCTGTCCACTAGAATTTTGAAGGTCGGTGCAACCACTCCGGAACTATGAGAGAAAACAACTCTGCGTATTTGCAACTGTGGCTGGAGGCACAGGAAGATGAGAAGTGCTTATAGAATAAAAGGTGCCCTGTCAATCAAATGGGTGCATTTAAAACAGGTGGGCTGTACACCAGTGTCATTGTTATCATCAGTGTGATAGTGCATTATGACATGGACTGTACAATACCTTCAGCACCGTGCTAAATACTTTTTTCAAATACTAATTCGTATCTCTTTATTCATTATATCTTGTAGCAAGTGAAAGGTAATCACCATATCAGCTTATCAGCCACTGCCTTCATACAAGAAGCAACCAAACGAATCAATTAAATTGTGGTGAGATCGTATCAAAAGTAGCCTCTTAAGATAAAGAGATGAGTTGTTTGTCGTAACCAGGCGGAGAGACAGAGGCGGAGGAGAAAACTCTTGTTCCAGAAAAGGGGGAACTTCGGTTGGCTCGGTTTTAAATCATTCCACACGGAGAAAAGTACAGTATCATGCTATAGAGTGGGGGTTGGAAAGAAAACTAATCAAGCCTGACCCGAGCGGTAGGCTTTTCAGTTTTTTTCCCATACCGATTCGAGCTTGAGGAGAGAAAGTAAGTAGATAGCCAGCCAATGTGACAGTTTTCAGTCAGGCTCTATGATAATTATTATATTATTATTATAAATATATATTCAATTGCTTTATATAATCAACCGGTCATAGTTATGAATTTGACCCTATCACTAGAAGTTTCCACAGAAAAATGTCTTATTCTCTTGCTCCGGCACTGACGGAAAAACCTGTCAATGGTCTGAATATCTTTATTTTATTAACTAGGGCAGTAGGACTCTCTGATTGGCCACATGTATTGACACAGAGCGTGAATGCATGGCGCATGGAACACCATTTATCGCAGATTACGATATGTACTTTGTGACATATACGATATATCGTGCAACCTTTTAAACACAATCTTTAAGATCACTTTATTTTCTTGACAACACACAGACACAGGTGTCGGTTTGTGTCACCACAATCTCTCTTGTCACTGCTTTTTCAGCTGGAGATATTTGTTTTCTTTTTGGTGTTTTTTCAGTTTTGTGTCTGTCATAGGTTAGAAGCGTCATCAACCACCCTACTCGCCCCTGCTTAACAAAGCTCCCCAAAGTATTAACTTGTCTCCACAGTTCTTCATGTTATAATACACTCATGTCTGTGTTTTCCATATTCTCTATATTCCCCTGTGTGTCTGTAGGGAGCAACTGTGCGTAACGAAATGGACAGTGTCGTGATTAGTCGCATTGTTCGCGGCGGAGCAGCTGAACGGAGTGGACTGTTATCAGAGGGAGATGAAATCTTAGAGATCAACGGCATTGAGATAAGAGGGAAAGATGTCAACCAAGTCTTTGACATTCTTGTAAGTATTTTCTCATCTGCGAATATTTGACACATTTCCTTTGTGTAGTAATAAAAAACAGAGAATGATTAGAGTAATCTGTTAATAATCTATTACTCTGCAGTCAGTTTCAGTCAATACTTTCGACTCTTTATATCTTATATGTAGACATTTTACCAGGGCTGAACCAAACCAAGAAATATCTTCAACTGAAATCATTCGTATGTTGAACCAATCAATTGGTAGGACAGACAAAGTCTGAAATCAAGTACCTTTAGATGAACTAAACTGGCCTGAAAGAAGTGAGGCCTTGTTAAGACCTAGTTTTAATATTCTTCCTTTTTCGCCACAATGTTAACACTGACGACCACATGTTGATCTTCTATTTCGAATGAGTAAAATCCTGCTTCCTTGTCAACCTGTGCACAGGACATTCATTCACTAATCCCCTCCTTGCCCCTCTCACTCTTTTCACTCTCATTGACAGAGCATCCTGACTATGAATCTACATTAAAAAAAAAACAACCACCAAAACTCATTATTAACTATTAACCAACAAGAATACAATGCTGTATAAAGGATGAGTGTCTACATGCAGCGCTGCTGTGCTCTCGCTCGCTTGCACACACACACACACACACACACACACACACACACACACACAGACACAGACCCATATGTCACTTTCAGAAATCCTGTTGCTTCGGTGGACCATCAAAACCACCATAGTTCCATGTTTTTAGCGTCTTAGGCAGGCAGATGTCACCATATCGTCCCACTTTAGCTGTGTCTATTCCAGCCGCTGCATGGACATGTAGTTGCTATAATGTGCATGAGTAAATTGCTCACATGTTGAGTGGGCATTCGTAATATTCAACCGTCATTCACAAGCCAGACCTACTCCGCCCTTAGCACACAGCTCGTCCGGTGGGTTTTATTTAGAAGTATTAACTTGTCCACATGCTGTAAAGTCACACTGGTGCAGAGTCTGTTCACTGAGACCTGCGGTGGCAAATTTACTGAGATGGTACCAATGTCCTGGGATTTTTTTTAACAAATCAACCTATACTATTATTTGGTCAAAATGTGTATTGTCGGTTAATGGTTAAGTGTTTATGGTGAACATACCTAGTCCTAACACAGACAAGTTAACCTATCATTTTAGAGGACACATGTCCGTAACAAATTGTGCAAGTCATATAAGTAGAGACACATGAATAAACCAGTGCAGTGTTGGATTTTTCATTCCGGATGGTGTTGCAGAATCAGTTTGAATAAAGGACCTGCTTTAATGTTCCTTCTTACACTGTGGGTGCAGCAGCCTGCTGCTGAAAGAGCTGTGCAGGGCCTCCACAGTGTCATGTAGGGGGTGAGAGGTGTTGTCCATGAGTTCAAATTCACTAACATCCTCCTCTCACCCACTTCCTCAGTGAAATCCAGAGTCCAGGACTGAGCTGGCTCTCTTGACCAGTTTATTTTGTCTTTTTCTGACCCTCTCAGTGCATCCACACCCCGGCAGTCAATGGCATAGAACACATCTTTAAAATGCCCTCCACCCTTTTACATGTAGTACTTCCCATTCCTCCACCACCAAAAATGATGGATTCATTTGAACGACATTGATGGAGCACTTTTCTCATGAATGTAAAACCAACAAGAGGAATTATATTTTTTAGCCGAGAGCATATCGACCATCCAACAAATGGGAGCCTGCAGCTTACATTTCACTATCCAACATTCAGATTGTATCTCCGTCACACTGATCTTGGACATGTATTTATTCATGATACACTGTAAGGTGTAAAATGTATTGTCATTCTTTATTATTATCTGCAATGTGAGCTGTTACAGTATTTACTAATAAGTGGATTGAATGTGGTGCAAATGTAAGATGCCTAATATTGTAATAATCAGGCAATGTAGGCGAGATGATAAATAACAAGTTAGCATCTCTCTTTCGTGTGTGTGTGTGTTTCAGGCGGACATGCATGGCCTACTGACCTTTGTCCTGATTCCCAGCAATCAGAGCAAACCTCCCCCTGTCAAAGAGAGTGTGGTGAGTGCTCAACATGGATGTGAACAAAATGGTGGTTCAATCTGGAAGAAACAATGTCTGTTGTCTTTTCTTCCACTAGACTGACTAATGAGCAGTTACCTTGGGTTAGCAAATGCTGATTATTTGAAGTATTCTGATATAAGAAAATATCTTCATCTCTACTGTTTCCCCGTCTCTTCTTTCTCTTATCCAGATCCATGTGAAGGCTCATTTTGACTATGACCCCTCAGATGACCCTTATGTGCCATGCAGAGAGCTGGGCCTGTCCTTCCAGAAAGGAGACATTCTCCACATCATCAGTCAGTCAGACCCCAACTGGTGGCAGGCCTACAGGGACGGAGATGAGGATAACCAGCCGCTAGCTGGACTGGTACCAGGTACTACTGTCTGTGGCTGGAGTCTTTATGGGTTCCCTCTTTTCAATATCTCATGTTTTTGGTGGAACATGGGCAGAATGCTTTGTCAGACTCTTGCTGGTAAATACACAGGGCGGTTGGCGGTAAGCTGAAAACACTGTGTACACTTGTCTTCCACTCTGCATTATATGATATGACTGCTGTTTGTTTTTGCCCATATTCTCTTCTTTTTTCCACAGGAAAGAGTTTTCAGCAGCAGAGAGAAGCCATGAAACAAACCATAGAAGAAGACAAGGAGCCTGAGAAGCCTGGTCAGTTTCTCCACCATCCACAAACGTAACCCTGTTACAGTAAATAACCTTTTAAAGGTTTTAATTGTATCTAAGCTTATTCATTGCTTAAAGCTACATTGCCACAAAATAAGAGACACAAAATTGAGTTTGTCTTTATTTAGTTTCCAATTTAACCAACCTATATAACTCAATTTCTATCCGGAAATGTGTTTTCTGTGTGTGTGCGTTTTCCAACCTCATGTGCATTTAACCTAGCACAATGTGGCACAGTAATTTTATGTTTAAGCAAAATAGGGAGGATGTGGTTCAGGATATAGAGCAGGTCAGCCACAAATCATGTGTCAAAGTGTCCTTCTGCAAGATACTGAACCCCAAATTGCCCCTGATAGCTCTACCATCAGTTTATGAACGGTATTTGGTAAAGAATACATCAGGACAACAGAATTTATACATTGCGTCCAGCCTCTGCCTGCTGTGCCACCCCTCACCTGAATGCTCCAGTCATTTCTGTGTTGAGAATTTCCTGAGAATTTCCTTCTGCGTTCTTCATGTGTAAGAGGTAAACTCTGGAGAAAGTCCAGACCCAATTGTGTGGACATTGTCCAGAGTCTATGTCTGAAAACTGCTTATGAGTGTGTATTTGAAAAGACTGAATGACAAACTTGGAGTTTGAAAGTGAGTTTTAAGGTGTATTCATGTTCATAGGGAAGCTGTGGTGTGCAAAGAAGAACAAGAGGAAGAGAAAGAAGCTGTTGTACAACACTCACAAGAATGATGGTAAGACCAGTCTGTCGGTGTGTCTATCAAAGCTTAAAGATATAATATGTAACAATTCCTTATTCAGTGTCTAAAAACAACTAAACTTATTCTAGACCAGTGCAGGATTTTTTTTTGGAGCAAATTATAACCTGTTTATTCTGTCCTCTTCATTGGTCCAGATTTTGATAATGAGGAGATTCTCACCTATGAGGAGATGGCTCTGTACCATCAGCCAGCCAATAGGAAGAGGCCTATTGCACTGATTGGTCCAACCAGCTGTGGACAGGGAGAACTTCGGCAGAGACTCCTCAACAACCAACCAGAACGTTTTGCTGGAGCTGTACCTCGTAAGAGTCTCTCACACCCACACACACACACACAAGTGCACACACATTTCCATGTGTTTGTGGATAAAAACAATTCTCTTTCTGTGCATACATGCAATAGACACCACGAGAAGCCGTAGAGAAGGAGAGCTGAGTGGCCGAGACTACCACTTTGTGTCTCGTCAGACGTTTGAGGCAGAACTGGCAGCTGGTAAGCTTTCAAGGGTTTTCTTTCCCATGTTTTATCTCAGTCACTGTCAGGCATTTCTTGTTGTTTTTTTTTTTTTCTTCCAGCAGAAGCTACTTATATTTTACTCAGACTACATCCATACTAGAGCTACAGAAACTAAGACGTTTGGAAATGCTGCTGGGGTTTGAAAACTCTGGGACTGCAGAAACAGAGATGTTTGGAAACACTCACTACTAGTATCTGATCGGGTCTTCTCGGTCACAACATATTCACTCATTTTTCAGGCTCTTGTCATATGACCTTCTTCTGGAAGAAAACAATTAACAACAAAGCATTAGCCATGACTACAGGTGTATAACTAACGACCAAATGCTTTCTCTTTTATACCGGCACAGGCATGCCCAGTGTATCAGAGTGGTCTCGTGATAAACGCTTTCAGGCAGGTTTGAATGAATCGGGATTAAAACTGATACAGAGTCAAAATACTTAGACGTAGTATAGATGCAGCCCCAGTTTCACAGTAGCTAGAAAACCTCTGTGTACTGATAGACAAGTTATATATTAATACATTCTGCATCAAACCTGACTTGTTGATCCGAGTGGCAGAGCACTTTCAATTTAGATTGGTTTCTCCAACATCTATTGAGGATAAAAATCAATTTCTCTGGTTTAAAATCAGACAACTTTTTGACTATAATGATCAAAGTGGCTGAGTGATGTTGTCTGTACAGGAACAGCTTGGAGCTCATGTATCTGTTCATGTTACTGATGTAATGCAAATAACATTGGATGAGAAAGAAAACATCACTAGACATACCCCGGTGTGTTTTGTTTGATCACTGAGAAAGAGACATTTTATTTTATTTATTTTAGATATGATGCTTTCTGTTACAGACAAGTGGTCGACAAGGTGATATTTTAATCGTCGGTAGCAATATGACCCAATGTTTTACAAGTCAGTCTTCTGTGTGTGACGTGATGCACACTCTTCATCGTCTTGCACTGATCTACAAACATACAAAGAAGTATACAGCAGCTGTGTGTCAGTCAAAACATGCATGTAAACAATATGAGATTTAAAATGGACCCAAAGTTTGGTTTACAAATATCATCTGAGGCCCATTTGTTTGTCCTCAAGGATACACACAATTGATTAGGAGTAAAAATGCTGAATGTAAACATAACGTTTTGTATATTTGCAAGAATCCTGTAGAGAAAACTGAGGACATTAATGTTTGTAATGGTTTGTGTTAGAATTGTGTCACATAATTATACCAATACGTTTCTAACTTATTATGTTGTATTTCCTCAGGGAAGCTGATCGAATCTGGTGAGTTTGAGAAGAACTTGTACGGGACCAGTACAGACTCAGTGAGGCAGGTCATCAACACTGGAAAGATCTGTGTGCTCTGTCTGCACACACAGGTCGGTATTCACAAAAGCACGCAAGCGCGCGCACACACACACACACGCAAACACACACACACACAGTGGCGTGAGAGAAAGTCAGAGTAGTTTAAGATCCTCGAAGGAACATTTCATTCTTGTTGATTTTGGTGCCTCTGTGGACAAAGGCGGTAGTGTTTGCACTGTCACCTGTCTTAAAAACCTCGGTCCAGACATCATGTGCATTTGTTTTTGAAGTAGCGAAAACACACTTGTATATCACGTTCAGGACACTCACCAAGAAAAAAAAAAAAAAGAGACACTGCAGCTCTATTTAAATTGTTTTTATTTCAGACTTACCTGCTTTCAGACGAGACTCAAAGATCAAAATACTCAACATATTCATATCCAAATAAAGACACACAAAATATGACCCATTTGTCAGTAAAAAACAATCTTCTTACAATATTAGAACTGAGTTAACATAACCTTTAAGTATTAAATACATTTAAACAGGTACAAGAAATACATACTCCCCCCTCTTGTGGGTAAATGGATCCCACCTGAGATAATACTAAGTCACTCAAAGTATAGGGGGATAAAGTTGGCTGGAATATCCATCCACACCATAACACACAGCTGATTGCAGGATGCATAGTGATGAGGTAAAGAGCCTTTAGCCTGACTTTTAGCCTAGCGTGTAGCCCTGCTCGCTTCCCTCACTTCTATTTCCTCTCCCTTCACCAAACCATAGGCCTTCACAGCCTGACTGTCGTAAATCGTTGGTCTGACTTTGCGGGTAATTCGTCATGGTGGTAGACATTGATAAATGTAAAGAGAGTTTCATAACAGTTAAAAACTCCTTGAAAGGCAACTTCATAACTCAGATTCTAAAGTTGCTTATTGAATTGTGTGTGCATGCATGTGTGTCTACAGGCTCTAAAGGTGCTGAGGAGTTCAGACTTGAAGCCTTACATCATCTTTATAGCTCCACCCTCCCAGGAAAGACTCCGCGCCCTGTTGGCTAAAGACAACAAGAACCCCAAGGTCCCTGTTCAACTGTCGACACTGTCTCTTTACACTCTGACAAAGATAAATATCACTGGTTTTACATTTCTAAAATGTCTGCCTCAGTAATGTGTTTGTGTGTTTTGTCTTTAGCCCGAGGAGCTGCGGGACATCATCGAGAAAGCGCGGGAGATGGAGCAGAGCTGTGGTCACCTGTTTGATGCCGTCATCGTCAACACAGACCAGGACAAAGCCTACACTGAGCTGCTACGACTCATCAACAAACTGGACACTGAACCTCAGTGGGTGCCCTGCTCTTGGCTGCGCTGAAAACACACACATCGTTCACAGAACCCATTTCTGCACATTTCTCAAACTGGACCTGGTTTTACACAGTGTGCTGTGTTGACGTTTATGACATAACATTAGGGTTGATGTAAGCAAAAAGAGGAATGAGGAGATTTTGAGAATAAAGTTGTAATATTAGCAGAATATATATATGAAATTATGAAATCAAGTGTCACAACATCATTAGAACAAGTGGAGGAATTACAATTTTACAAAAAGTAATAACTTAAAAATCTAAAGTTGTTATTTTACAAGGAAACATGTCAAAATATTACAAGAGTCAAATATGAAAGTGATATTTATTATGCAAAAACAACTATACATTTTCTTTTTATTAGTTGGATGTAATCACAAAATGTATTTAGGCTTTAAAAATCGAATAATACTTAGAAAACAGATTATTATTTTGAGAACACAATGTGATTAGTTTGTGCAGATTCTAGCGACTCAGACACTATTTGTTTTTGAACCGAACTGTCACTTTGGTGTTATTGGGTTCAAGCAGAACATGAACTTTAATGATTCACAGTCCATTACTTCAGACTGCCTGTTATTTCAATTCAAAACAACGTTTTCTCAAACTGAGTCCAGTCTTTTGCTGGAGTGACTTGTGTTTATTTCACTTCAGTTTCACTTTAAAATCCCAACTCACAAGGGAAGTGAAATATTATTTGAAACGTTAACAAACAATATGTTGTTAAAATATTACATTTTTCAAGTTTTTCTCAAGAAGTTATAATTTAAAAGCTGCTTTCAGACATAACTCTGGAGAACGTCTGCACATTTTCCATAGTTTGCCTTTCATACATAAACCATGCAGCAGGAGATTCTCCGCTCGGAGAGTTCAGGTGTGGGGTGGTGCAGCAGGAAGAGGCAGAGGCAGGACGTTGCGTATAAATTCTGGCATCATATCAACACTGGCATTGGCCCTCATCACCAAACACTCTTGACATCTTCATCTGTGTCTTCTATGTGTATGGCACTGCCTTTTCATCCTGAGATATTCACATTCTTTTTGGCTTTCTGCAGAAAGTCCTGAGGTTCTCACTCTGGACGTTCTCCTGAGCTGTATGCGAGAACAAACCTGTCTGAGATTACCCAGAGTTCAGTGCATGTCTGAAAGCATAGATTCTTCACTTTTTCTAACTGTACAATGTTTCTCTCGTTAAATGATGGCTTATTTTCTTGTATCATGATCACAACAATTAATTCTCAAGACAAAAACAACTTTGTAATATTTTGAGCTGAAGTCAAATGATGCAAGTCCCTACTCATGAAATCACCACTTTATTCTCATGTATTTTTATATTGTCAGGTTCTCCTAAAACTACAACCTAGTTCTGTCTTCAAGGTTTTCTGGTGATACTATGACTTTATTCTCAGAATTATTTTTTTATTACAAGCTTTTCCTCCATGACTTTGTTTCTGCATAATCTTTTTCCTCATACAATTACAACTTCACCAGAATTTAGTGACTCATAGTGATTCCATCTACGTCACCAGCCGTTTCTCTTAACATTGGCCCTAATACACGTTGTACTGTAGAGAGTAAATCCTCTGCGCACTCTTGACCTGGTGGCACTGGTAATACCCATTACACTAAATGTAAACTTTTTGTTCATTGACCGACATGAAAGGGAGGGAATCCTTCTTTTTTCAGATGTGACATTGTTATGACACAGATGTCTCTGTCATCCTGAAATACTGAGGTTATTTTTCTTGTTTTTACTCTTTATCAGAGATGCTGGGCCTCTTTCATGGTGCCTCCTTTGACTTTATTATGACACACAAATCATTTTTTAACTTTTTACAGTACAGATGATCAATGTAAACTTCTGAACTTGAGCTCAAACGTTTCAATGTTGTGTCGATTTGTAAAAATGTGCACAGACGCCCTTAGTGAGAAGTAAATGTGAAACACACACAGACAGACACAAACACACACAGGAAGATACACAGACATACCAACACATACATTAATATATATACACACAGACACACAGCCATTTCGTGCATGTAGAAATTCACCCTCAGCCACTACATTTGTTGCTATGAAGAACACAGGCGTGTCCTTTGCGTACACACCGCAGCGTGTTAGCCGCTGACGTCCCCTCATCCTGCGGGAGTTTGGCGACGGCCTTAAACTGCAGCCTTCTGGACCCTGACCGACTGACTTAAGGACTCACTGGTTAATGTAGACACAATTGCAATAAACACTAAAATAAAACACACAGCACTTGATATCACTTTTTTACTTGCCGACTTTTCTTTTCTGCCTGATTTTTTTTTTTCTGACTGACCAGTGACAGTTTCCCATGTCAGCTGACCTATCTGATCACATTTAAGTAGAACTCTGAGCCTGAGCCCTGAAGGGCGACTGGGTGAAGTTATAGTTTGTAGTTGTGTTCCTGATCGGCACATGATGCTGAATTTATATATTCAGTGTGCAGGCGTGTGTGTTGTGTGTATGTGTGTGTGTGTGTATGTATGTATGTGTGTGTGTGTGTGT